AATGTAACGGTAGACACAGTCACATTATATGCCAGAAAGACTCCGATACAACACAAAAATCTGCGCCGGTTCCAATAGAAAATTCACTTTCCAATAGCACCTATACTCATGTTTTTCTACAAACTTTAAAGGTTAAATTAATTGGAGACAATAAAAATCGAAATGCTAGACTAATATTCGATACAGGATCCCAAAGGTCTTATATTAGTAAATGCGCTATTGCAGAAATGCAATATAGTCCTTTAAGGATCGAGCAGATGGTTCACTCGTTGTTTGGCGGAACAATAACCGAAACAGTATCTCATACATGCTTCAGAATTCGTGTAAGCAGTTTTAATGACAAATACGTCTGTAATTTTGAAGCACTAGATCAACAGATAATTTGTAATAATATTCCTTGTATCAAAAATGGACCTTGGATCGATGAACTTCGCTCATTTGGAGTAGATCTGTCAGATAGTGAAGATGGGCCAATAGATATTTTAGTTGGTGCAGATATTTGGGGCAAATTATTTACTGGAAAAAAACATGAACTCAGCTGCGGATTAGTTGCTTATGAGACCATGCTTGGATGGACTTTATCTGGAAAGATTTTGTTTGCAGCTAATGCAGATTGTTCGAGTACTAGTACTGCTTTAATAACCTCGCTAGTTTGCAACAATCATAATGTAACTGATCTTTGGAGTCTTGACATATTAGGCATTACTGATCCTGCTGAGATTAAATCCAGAAAAGAAATAGAAGAAGCGGTGAAAAGCAATTTCTTAAAAACAGTTTATATCCAGACTGATGGAAGATATGAGGTTTCTATGCCATGGATAGAGGGCCATCCTCCATTACCAGAGTACTCAAATTTAGCATTAAAACGTCTAGAAAGTCTTATGAAAAAACTTAAAAATGATGGGTACTATGATGACTATAATCAGGTTTTCAAAGATTGGCTTGAAGAAAATATTATTGAAGAAGTCCCTGTAGAAGAAATAAAGACCGATGGACATTATTTAGCACATCGTCACATTGTTAAATTAAATAGTGCTACCACCAAGATCAGACCAGTGTTCGACGCTTCTGCAAGAGAAGGTAATCATCCAGCTCTCAACCAATGTCTGGAAAAGGGAATAAATTTTATAGAGTTAATACCTTCAATTATTTTAAGATTCCGTATGTACAAAATAGGAGTAGTATCAGATATTAGAAAAGCCTTTTTGCAAGTCAGTTTATGCAAATCCGACAGAGACTTCCTGCGCTTTTATTGGTACGATAAATTTGAAAATCTAACTATTTACAGACATACAAGAGTGGTGTTTGGTATTACTTGCAGCCCTTTCCTTTTAGGAGCCGTTATTGATTACCATTTACGAAGAAAGCTTGATAGTTGTGATTTAAAGTATTCCAGAGCAACTATAACTAGATTACTCAAAAGTTTTTATGTCGATAACTGTATCACAAGTCTAGACAGTATTGAAGAAACGCAAGAGTTTATTAAAGAGGCGACGGAAATAATGGCAGAAGCAAAATTTGATTTACGAGGGTGGGAGCATTCTAGTTTTGATAATTCAACTATTCAGAGTACAGACTTAACCTCAGTTCTAGGTTTAAGTTGGGATAAAAACAGATACATTAGAGATAAGTGCTGATTGGTTCAAACACATGAAAATAGATGCTATTTCTAGAAGACTTATTTTATCTGCTGCCCATAAATTGTATGACCCTATTGGCTTTACGGCTCCTGTCTCATTGCTTCCTAAATTATTATTGCAAAAGTCGTGGAAAACAAAGGCAAGTTGGGATCAAGAAGTAGATGTTGAAATGAGTACCTTGGAAAATTAGCTTTGTTTAATTGTAAAAAATCACAATATGAAATAGAGGTTGGAGATGTAGTTCTCGTTGGAAATGACCATCAAAAGCGTCTGGATTGGCCATTAGCTTATATTGAAGAGACGATACCTGGACGAGATGGAAAAGTCAGACTGGTTAGACTAAAAACTGCAGATGGGCATTTGATTAGACCGCTTCAAAGGATTTATCCTCTAGAAGTTAGATCTAAAGAAAAAGAATCATTACTTTTTAATAAAAAAATGCAGAGTGGTCCTTTTCAAGATATGAAAAAACCTCCAGAAATCCAAACTAGATATGGAAGGAAAATAAAGGCACCCCAAAGATTAGCCTTTTAATTTTCAGTTGATTCACTTTCTCAGTGACTCAAGGTGGGAGTATGAAGAAAATGTGTACTATTTACTTTGTTTACTTTTGTTAAAATTATTTTTAAGTTAACTTTGGTAAAAAAAAAAGATGTCAGTGTGATTTTTGATTTAGTAAAAATAAAAAAAGTCTTGTCAAGTTGAATTTAATTTTCTTTGGGTTATTTTCTGATTTGGGGCCTGTATACAGAAAGTATCTGATCACCGGTTAGGTGAGAGGAGAATTTATCACAACCCCATATGTGGCAGTTTTGTTTGTTAATATAAATAACCACTGGGATGAAAATGTGCTTCATCACTAAGAATGCATTTTTTTAGAAAATTTACCTGGTTGTTATTCGATAAATTTAACAAATTTGCGACGTTTTAAATTGTCTGTTGGTTTCAATTACCTTATGAGCGACTTGGAGGATAGCGAATTGGTGTTTTTACATCCGTAAGAACCTCTCCTCAAACTTTTTCACTATTCTCAATATTGTTGATTCATTTGGTCGATTATGCCAAAGGTAATTTACGAAATCCATTTTTATTTTAACGTCTATTTTCGTAATATAGTTATTTGTGTACCAAGGCCGTAAAGTTGATATTTTTTGGCCGAATCAGAAATTTGCGGCCTAGGCCAAGCAACTTCAGATTAGGCCAAAAAAGATATACGGCCGAGGTGCACACAACATTTTTTAGGCGACTATCTCATCAAGTAGACCCAATATTTTTTTTTGCTTCCTTGTTTTTAAAAAGAGGCTTAAATACAAGAATCGTTTCAAATTGTTATTGATCGAATAAAAATCCATCGTTAACTAATAAAATTTGTTCAGAATTACTGTTAAATATGATAAACCTGTGTTTATAAAAAGCGACGGTAAAGTAAATGTGGCCAAAAAAGTAACACTTTAGGGATGTTAATAAATTCGTAAAATGTAATTTTTTATGAAAGTCGCCTAAAAAATAAATTGTATAAATTGCCAACTGTAGTAGATTCCAAATGTCAATATCTTTTGACATTTTGAATGACAAGTACAATAATTATATCCTCACAGAAAATTGCGTCCCTAATGGAAAGAAGTGTTATAGTAGAACTTCGGGAAAACATGTCTAAGTCTCTATTAGAAAAACCTGGAAAGTATTTAAAGAATCGTATGACGATCGCTAGATGGCGTAACTGAATACCAAGCAGTGAAGTGGTTATTTTATACAAAATTTACCAAATTAAGTTCTTCTAAAAATAGGACTGTACCATGAGCTTGTAAAGAATTCCGTTGGTTAAATAACAGATAAGATTTGCGGATCATCGGCGTAATCTCTGTATCTCTAGCGTGTGGAGGGTGGGTTACCCCACGGCACTTAGGCCTCATTAGGCCCATTGTGCATCTTCCTGAGAAGATAGGCACCTCCTAGCTCGTGAGCCAGCCTACAGATTTAATATAGTTGACAACGTCGCCAAGAGGTGCTTCTCTTATATCGGCCGGTGTTAGCCGATACTCGCCGAACACAAATCTTCTAATAAATGAGAGCGTCGAGCAATCATAAAGGATATGCTCGATGGTCTCATCTTCTTGTTCGCACCCTCTGCAGAGTGCGGATTCTGACAGCCCCATGATATGGAGATGCTTCCGTACTTGGCAATGACCAGTCAGAATGCCTATGACTAGGCGCAGATTCTGTCTAGTCATAGTCAAGTATTTGTTTGCTGCAGTGTTGGATAACTTAAGAGCTCCCTGGCAACTCTGCAGTTTCTTGTTTCATCCCAACTTTCCTTGAATTTCACAAGGGAATATAATTTTATTAGGTTTGTCACTACAATGTTGTCAGTCCAATAGAGGGGCCAGGTCCAAAAAGTATTTGATTGGCTGCCTTCTTAGAAAGTGAATCAGCAAGGCGATTACCTTTCGATGTGACGTGACCTTTGATCCGTCTTAAGTTGACCACGTTATTAATGGATACTTCGGCCAAAGCTTCTTGACATTCTAATACTAACCCTGAATAAATTCGTGGTCATTATTAGTCTCATTCCCCTTGATATTTACATCAAGGAGGTTGCTCTAATGACAATGACACTCCTCCGCACGGTTGGAATAAAACCTGATGTAGGATTTGGTGAGGCGAGATGTCGCTTTTGGCAGGAGGCGTTCGATATGCTCCCACTGCTTCAAGCGGACATGGACTCCATCTCACCGAGACATCTTCCATAAGCCATATAAAGTTATAATAGAATAAATAGAAGAGACCGAAGTGGCTGGTACGATTTATATCTACACCGACGGTTCTAAAACAAAACAAGGCTCAGGATGTAGAATATACTCCATAAACCTGCTGTGAGCAGTAAGTGCCAGTGTAGTTCAAACCGATCTCACGGGTATTCTCATAGCAGCAAAAGAAATCACCAGAAATAATATCACTGGAAGAAATATGCTCATACAGATAGAGATACAAGTGTTAAAGATGTTCTATTAAGAAATCATCAGTCAAGTGATTTAATCTCAAGGTTTACAACCAAAACACACTTTCATTTTTAACTTTTTTACATCATTTGACAGGATTTCTTCCGCTTTATATACTTCTTGTAAAATCCACTATGTTCTCTAAGAAGTATAACCTTATTTTTAAATTGTTTCCATATTCATTGAGTTCATAATAGCATTATTTTGTTCAGGAAAATATATTAAGTGACTTAATGGATTTTTTATCAAATCTCACTTGTGTTTTGCTTGTAAGCTGACGATATTATCTTAACAGTGGTGCTTTTAATTTTATAAAAATATTTTCTTACCTGAAATTATATAACTGTCGATTCGCTTGCAGGCAGTCTCCATCACCGCCAAGCCAACCGCAAAGCGGTCCGAAGCGAGATCGGGGCTTAGCAGTGGCATCAGCAGCGCCGGTGCGTCGACCATCGCTTTCGGCGGATCGACGATCGCTCTCCCGGGCACGGCGATCGCTTCCAAATTATACAGATCATTAGGCGAATCTCCCCAGGAAACCGTGCGTCAACGGCGTACCAGGATACCAGACAAACCGAACTATCCGCTCAATCTGTGGAGCATCATGAAGAACTGCATCGGAAAAGATCTGTCAAGGATTCCCATGCCGGTAAATTTCAACGAGCCGCTATCGATGCTGCAAAGGCTCACCGAGGATTTCGAGTATTCGGAAATTCTGGATATCGCCGCCAAGTAAGTACATTCCAATAATTCATAATAGCCAAAGAAATTAGCTCCGAATTTTAACATATTTGAAAAACGCTTTTATATTGCAAATAATAATAATAATAATAATAATACGAGCCCTAACACAAAAATGTTCGGACATCAACTGATTTTGCGAAAAAGTTTGAAACATAAATGTTCGGACACGTTAGTAAAACAAAGCAAGCAAGCCATGAAAACAAAAAAAAAAGTGTTTCTATTTTGACATTTTAACTTGAGAATTAATTCGATTATCAATTGGCTCCAAAGTGTCGCGTGGTAAAGCAACAAATGGTGCAATTAGGGAATTAATAGTAAAACTGTTTAACCAAGGAAAAACCTTTCGGGATATTGCTAAACAAATAAATGTCGCAAAGTCCACGGTGTCAGATATTGTGAAAAAAATATGGAGAAACGGGTTCAACTCAAATTTCACGACATGGTGCTGGTCGGGCACGCAAAGTCACTTCCCGAATGCAAAGATCTCTTGTTCGGATTTGTAAAACTGATCGCCGAAGTACTCTAAGGGAAATAACAGCAAAATGGAATGAAGAAATAATTGGAAATGTTTCACGAGAAACGTGTCGTCGCTGGATCCATAAGTCTGGTTTACATTTTTATAAGGTACGTAGGTTACGTTTAAGGAAAATATCATATTTATGCAGTGAAATCATTGGTTTAGGCAAAAAAAAGCCGTTGCTGACGGAAAAACAAAAGAAAAGACGATTAGCGTGGGCAAAGGAACGGGCAATGTGGACTTTTGAAGACTGGAGTAGAATCATTTTTAGCAATGAATCAAAATTTGATGTTTTGCGTAGGTGACCATCGATCACGTGTTATAAGAAACAAAAATGAAGCCTTTCACAAAGACTGCCTAAAGAGAAAAATAAAATTTCCATCAGGTGTTATGGTATGGGGAAGCATGTCTGGTTTCAGTGTTGGAAAACTGCACTTTATAAACGGAATTGTAAACGCAGAAAAATATCAGAACATTCTTGAAACCAATTTGTTAGTGTCAATTCCAATTTTATCACCTGATGGAAACTTTACTTTTCAACAAGATGGCGCCTCCTGCCATACAGCCAAGACCACAAGAAAGTGGCTGCAGGACAACAATATTTCCGTCCTTGACTGGCCCTCCAGCAGCCCTGATCTAAATATAATCGAAACTGTATGGCACAAGATGAAGCAGCAATTAAGAAATGATCCACAGCACATTTCTGATTTGCGGGTAAAATTGCAAAATATATGGGATTCTTTTACTGCGGAAGATTGCGAAAAGCTTGTTAAAACTATGCCTAATAGAATAAAAGCTGTTATTAAGGCAAAAGGAGATGCAACCAGCTATTGATGTGATTTGTCCGAACATTTATGTGTCAATAAATATGCATTATTATCAACATTAGCTTAGTTTTATTGATCAATATCAGTTTATTTGAAAATAATATAAATATGATGTAAAACATACATATTATGTCTTATAAATGAAAAACATGATATTGAATCCCTTAAGGAAATTTTCAAACTTTTACGAAAAATCAGTTGATGTCCTAACATTTTTTTGTTAGGGCTCGTAGTTTATTCAGAAAAGAGACAAACTAATACTAACATTATTATTATAGTAATAATAACAGCCACAAAAATAGTATTAACGATCGTTAAATTTACTATGTTTAAAGAACGTTAAATTATATCTTTGAATAAGCATGTGTGTGAATTCATCCATAAGAATCCAAAAAGACTGCAGGGTGCACGGACGAATATATTTTCATGATTGAATGTGTTGACATTAATATATTTTTATTCACAAAATTAACGTAGCTACTTTAACATATATGTTATTAAAAATTAGTAAAAACGCTACAGTAATAAAGAACATTATTAGAGGCCAAAATTAAAAAAAGAATATTAGAAACTTAACAAGTGGTGAACATTTTCTCTTCCTAAGTTTATAATGTATGATTTAAAACGTTTTTTAATGAATTCTATTGATTTTATATTGAGAAGGTACATTTTATATGATTTTATATGTTTTAAAACGTTTTTTAATGAATTCTATTGATTTTATATTGAGAAGGTACATTTTATATGATTGGGGGAGACTATTGAATACTTTACTCATTTGGTGTGAATATGTTCGGATACTAACATTTCTTCTTAAAAATTGTGTCTGTACATTAAGATTTTCTCTATATCTTGTTTTGTGATGGTGATTTACAAGTTGTAAACATTTTTTGTTTTTATAAATAAAAATAATTATTTGATGCATAAATAACTGTCTAATATCAAGTATTCCTGCGTCCGAAAAAAGACGGGTATGTAAGTTCCTTCTTAATTATTTTTTTTAAGAACCGTTACTGAAGTACATCTAACTTTTTTATGTAACAAAAGGCAGCTCCTCCCCAATTAAGAATCAAATATCTTAACCTAGATTCGATCAGAGCAAAATAAATAATTTTGAGATGACAAGGATCTATAATATTTTTAAAATACCTAAATTTGTACAGTAATGTCCTCAGAACTTTGACTACATTTTCAGTATGAATATCAAATCTAAGATGACAATCTATATGCAGTCCAAGATACTTAACTTTTTTTTTTTAGCGGTAATGTCCACTTTAGAATTTGATCTTTCTACTGTTAATATATCATAATTAGGTACTGTACTGTACATAACGTAACTATTCACAGTACATCACAGAGCTAGGTATACGGTGAATAGTTACGTTTTCTCAGAGTATCTCTGTAGTGGAACTAACCCTATGTTTCTTTTCTGTATTGTTCTCTCTTTTGTGGCGCAAGTATGACTTTCTCCTTAGGAAGCAAAATCAAAGCTAGGGCACAGTTCATAGCTAAATAATCAGTTCGCTCTCTCTGCCTCGGCACTTTTGATCTCAATGTTCCAGTTTATACATTGCGCAACTCGGATTTATATACCTGGCGCATACAGAATCAAATCATAATAGTCCAAGAGCCCACTGCAAATTTTTACCATCATCTGATAATGAAATGAAATATACCCCAAAATCATGTAAAAACATTGTAGTTTGCCAAATGGCACCTGTGCCAATCTCAATCCTGACCAAAGTGGTTAAAAAAATTATTTTATATTAAAAAAAAAAAACAAGGCATTACAGCGCTAATTTTGTATGCCTTTAAAGTTTTCCAGAAAATAATATATTCAAATATATCTTGATATATATCGTTAAAGGGAAACGTTTTCTTCCTCTTAACATCGCACAAAAACATCTATACACGATTAGTAAGTAAAAATCATTAAAAATATAAATTAATTTGCTGATTTAAAAATTTATTTGTATGTCTATTGTTGTGATTCTTTTTTACAGGTTGCCATAGAAATGACAAAAAAAAACTACTATGATTATGGTTTAAAAGAATTGTCTAACAAGAGTTTATAAATATTATTGACTATCTCTGCAAATGGTTTATACAATACCATCCTTCTTTCTTTCATACATAAACATGGTTTAAAAGGTAGATAAAAATATTAATAATTCAGGTTTAAAAGCGAGATTCGCAATGAATTAGGATTGTAATTTTCAGGGAAAACATAATTGTCCGGTCATGTTTTATTTGATTTTTAGAATATAAAATATTTTTTTTAGCCACTTTGCTCAGGATAGGGATTGGCACAGGTGCAATTTGGTAAAGTACAATGTTGTTACATGCTTTTGGAGCATATTTCATTTCGTTATCAGATGACGGTCGAAATTTGCAGTGGGCTCTCATACTATCAGTAGTTTTGGCTGTACGCTGATAGGTCAGTCAGTCAGGACAAACAATTTTATCGTTGTCATGTCTTATGTGATTTTTTGAATATAAAATATTTTTTTTAACAACTTCGCTCAGGATATGGATTGCAATTTGGTAAAGTACAATGTTGTTACATGTCTTTGGAGCATATTTCATTTCGTTATCAGATGACGGTCGAAATTTGCAGTTGGCTCTCTTACTATAACCAATTTAATATATGACAACCGCCTATATTCAAACAGCAGTTTCTGCGCATCCTGAATTTTAATCCCTGGAGTGGATGTTATTTTGGAACATCCAATTGGTCCTAGTGAACTAACTGATTCTTTAGCTATAAACTGTGGCCTAGAGTGTGTTGAAAATGATTTTCTATATTTCCTATTTTCCTACTGATATAATGAAACGCCGGTCGCGGTATTAGCCAAGGGAATAGTTGTCTTCAGAAGGGAGGGGGGTCGCTCGACGGTCAACTTTGCTGTGACATGGTCTTCGAGACTTATTCTCTTTTCCTTCTATTTTAATATAAATATTTGTTTATTTTGTAGTACGTAATATAATTTTCTTTATAGTCTAAAAAATAAATACGGCAACAATGTATTATGTAACAAACGGAATGGCCAGGCATGTGCAAAACCGCGGAGACATAAGGTAGGTAGACTACTTTCCTTTCACGGGTTTGACATTTGCTAAATGTTTAAGTTTTTATTGTGATTTCGGTGTCTTAAACTATAAAAGGAATAAGATCTGCTTAATTTTAGTTAATTTTGAACTATTTAGGTATTTAAAAATGGTGTTTAATTTACAAAAGTTGAGTGTGTGTTAGTGTATTGTGATTTAACATAAACACAAAGATATTAGTTTATATTATAAATATTACCAATATTAATATTTTGTAATAAAATGAAGAATAATTTTGAAATTTGGGTATTAACAGAGATTTGAAGTACATATTACTTTAATAAAAGGTGCTAGATTCTGTTTATAGTTGTCAATTCAAATGGTAAACACAGTTTTTCAAAAAAAAAAAAAAAAAAAAAACGAAGAAACAATTTAATTAGTATAAACCTAGTGGATTGGTTAGAATAACAAGTTCTTATTCTTATAAAATATTAGTTCGTCGAAGAATTTTCTGCAAACATTTTAAATTTATGGTTATTACTATTTCAAAAATCTTATTAATTTTTCTCATTAATCTGACCAAATTCTCAATCGCGAGTTAAAAAAATTAAAAATACAAACTTTCACAAAATATAAATTACGACAGCAATTTAGTCAACATAGAATATTATTATTTTATATGTAAGAGTCTGGAAGGCATAATCCCTTGCTTCAGTAGCCTACGCCTTATCCATTAGAGCACGTTCGCTTGATGTTCTTTTTACGAAATTAACTTAGTTTAAAATTTAAAAAAATCATTTACAGCTACTTATCCTCGGACACACTGTGTATGTACGTAGTATTTGAGTTAAGAGTAATATTAGCTCATTCTGAACTTTAAAATATCGAAATAACTTAGTTTATATGTTTTTTTATTTCAAAATTAAAAGCAATGGTTAATTATTGTTTATACTTATTTTCAACAGCTATTAATTGAATTTTAAAATAAATTGGACATGTGTTTTTTTTTTTTTCAAGGAAATATATTAACAAGTTTTCCTTAATGTTCATGTAGTTTGTGTAATATAAAACGACTTCTTTTCGACTGATTCGACTTCTGAAAAAGAAGAAAAATATTTATACAGGGTGTTTCTACAGTGTAGAACAACCAACTGGAATAAATTAAGTAACTCAATTACTGTGCATATTTATAAAAATCCCGAAATACGAGCCCAGAATTATATCATTTGGCCCATTCAATATTATATTTTTTATTTTACTTTAGACAACATTGGTAGATACAAAAGAAAAATCTATTAAATCTAACTATTTTTATTATAATTTGAGACATGTTTATCAACATTTTTTTATTAAAATTAATATTAGAAAATTTGAGATATGCACAGTTGTCTAAAATAAAATTAAAAATATAACATTGAATGGGCCAAATGATATGATTCTGGGCTCGTACTTCAATTTTAGATTATAAAATGACCTCCTGCAACGTGAAAATTTCACCCCTACCTTCAACCCCCTCAAATTTTTAAATATGCCCTAGTTACAATAACTTAGCAAGTTGCTAAGACGTTTTAAACGAAATAAAGAGTGACCATTTTGCAGAATGTTAATAACTTTGTCTTTTTGTTTGTTAGTATAGTCGAAAAAAGCCATTGAAATTGTTTTTGCTTGCCCTATCATTATCAAGAACGAAACTCTATTAGTTATTAAATGTTTAGGGTTTGTAACGAATTTCGTCGATCAGATAAATTAATTTTTCACTGTAAATTTTTGCAATAACTTTGAAAATAACAGCATTTTTGAAGAGATTTTTCAAATAAAGCATTGCAAGTACCTACTTCCTATTTAAAAATTTGGGGGTTGCAACTGTCACTCGAATGGGGTTGAAGGTAGGGGTGAAATTTTCACGTTGCAGGGTGATCTAAAATTGATGTGTCGGGATTTTTTTATAAATATACACAGTAACTTAGCTACTGCATTTATTCCATTTGGCTGTTCCACACTGCATATGTCAAGTGAATATTAAATATTTCACTATAATATGCTCTAAATTGTTATTTTTTTTTATCTAAAAATTTCCCTTTTTCTGTATTTTAAACATTCTTTCGGCGTTTCTGATTAAACTTTTCGCGTTTACATATTTTATAAAATAATTTATACTTGACTAGATTAAAATTATTAGTCCAGTGGCGTCCCGATGGTAGATATATTTATAACCCTTATCTTAAAAAAACATTTAGCGCACATGTTTATGAGAAATTTTATTCATCAAATACACTAAGGGATTGCCTATTTCAATATTGCCACGTCATTTAAGTACACCCTGTGTTTAACGATTATTATTCAAGGTCCTAAATGCCTAAATTATTCTCAACAACTAAAGAAAAAATTAGTTTACCCTAAATATTTAACCGTTTTCTCAAGTTATACAGATATATTTTTAAAAATAGATAATTATGCAAATTATACAGATAAAAATGCAAATCATTTAACATCGTTTTATTTTAAAATTAGTAGAAATATGGCTTTTCAGTTTTCCTACATTTTTTTACAAATGTTTTTGTACAGTTCTTCCGAATTTCCAAATATTTGAATTGTGTGTTTTAATGTGTTGAACATTTAAAGACGACCTAAAAATAGTAATGTTGACTTTAACACCTCGTGGTTTTTCTAACAGAATATTTACATAATCTTTATGACCATATTTTCTGAATTTTATTTTTTAATTATTAGTTTTTATGTTATGATTTTATATAGGCGATGATGTTTAGAATCTTAAAATGGTAATACTAACTTTATCACCTGGTTTATTGAAAATTAGTAAAGATAATGACTATCGACATTCAACAAAATGATTCCATAGTTGTTTTGTTCATCTGTTCTGAATTTCATAAATTTTTGAGTTATTTTTTTTTAAGCGGTGAATATCTAAAGGCGATCATATCATCTCAAAATTAAAAACAACTGATGTGTCCAACACATGACTTTCCTGTAAAGATATAGAATATATTGAGTCCGGCCAATCTAATCAAAAAGTATTTACAATATGAATTAACATAAAAATTTTCCTCATACATTTTATTCCAAATATTTTATCATATATTCATTGCCAACGAAAATACTGAAAAAATTCAAATTTTAAAGATTTTTATTATCTAATCATAAATAACAGAAATATACCTTAAGTAGAAAAACGTCCCCTAAAAAGTAAATCTAATTTGCTCACCACACCTTAAGTTTAAATAGTCTTGATTTATATTCGTGAGGAAAATCAAAAAATAAAAACATAAACAGACTTATTAATTCGTTTTACTTTTCGTACACAAGTCCAAACTCGGATTTAGATTTTTTATTCTATATCTTTCATATTTCTGAGTTTTTTAAAGTTATTTAAAAAAGATGTTTAATTTAACGACTTCTATACACAGTTTAAAACAGTATTAACTTACCCTGTATATTGGTATAAATAGTTATATGGGCTAACTTTCATGTAAACCCATCCTTAAATACAGGGTGTTTCCGAACTTGGCGTCCAAATTTGTAGGGTAGTTCGCATAATTTGAGACCAATTCGCAGATTTCATTTTTCCAAAATATTTAAAATCAAAATAATTAAAAATTATAAACAGGTACGGTCCTGCACAGAGATAGGACGCCTCGACTCGCGCGCGCTACGCTTAGAATCGACAAAATTGCAAATCGCATCTGTTTTTGAGGACTATTGTGCTACGCGCTCAGGGTAGGACCTGCTGTTTGATTTTTTTTTTATAATGGCACTATTTTATTTATTATAATTTTTTTAGAAAAATGAAATCTGCCAATCGCTCTCAAATTGTGCGAACTACCACCCCTACAAATTTGGACGCCAAGTTCGGAAACACCCTGTATAGTTTTTTATGAAAGCCAAAAAAAAAATAAAGATTCTTAACTGTTGCTGTCTGTTTAATTAAAAAGTGTGACAACTTTTAAAGATTAGATGAAAGTGTATAAAACTATAGTCTAAAGACGAAAGGAGTGTAGTAATTTAATTTGCAGATCGTAGAACAGGTTGAAGAGGTAGACATTTTATTTATACCTCATCCTTTGATTCTTATTTGTTTATTGCTATGAAAAAATCTGATGTGTCAAACACATGACTTTTCTATCTAGTTATTATAGGCTTTTTCCGGTTATTTTGTACAACCTATTGCAGCACCTCTATAAATGTTTAGAGGATAAACTAAATATATACATTTTCCACATACATCTACCTCGAAACATTTTTCTATAGATATTCGTTGAAAACAAAAATACTGAAAAATTTAAATTTAGCACTGTTCCTACAATTTTTCCATTACGGTCCATTTTAGAAAAAATGTATAAACAAAAATTATAGAGATCGATATCGCAAACAACTTTTAGTTCAACAATTTTCATAAAAATCAGAATTTTGCACATTTTGTCAAATTTCTCGAATACGGACCATTTCAGGAAATTTGGACATAAAACAAAAATTATAGATAATAATATTAGAAGTAACTTTTATTTGAACAATTTTCTTCTCCAAACATAAATAACAGATATATTCCATAAAATATAAAAACGGCCTCCCATAAAGTACCCCCCCAGATGTTCCAACTTTGTCCAAAATCTAATCATTTCACGTCAGGCCGAAATAAAACTTAAGTTTAAAATTTAATGTTTTTTTCTTTATCCGTTTTTGAGTTATGGTGGATACACACACGCACACACACACACACACACGCACACACACACACACGACACACACAGACATACAGATAGACAGACATACAGACAGACATACATACACACAGACATCATCGCGAAAATAGTCAAAACGGATTCAGGGGACCTCAAAACGTAAAAATCCGTCGAAAACTCAAGGTCGAAAAAAATCATGATTCCTATACTTTCCTTATATCTGTATACAGATAGGAAAGTAAAAAGTAGATACGAAGGGTACAAAATTAGGAAAAAAAATCGAAAAGCTTTAGTTGAAAAATGATGATTCCCATACTTCATTACTGCTTACAGGAAGGTAAAAATAGGTATCCAAATAAAAACTAATTACAGGTGCACCGATCCATGTGAACAGCTCGCTTACGTGGCCGCTTTCACGATTTCTTCCTATTCGACGACCAGCATCAGAACAGGCAAGCCATTCAATCCGCTGTTAGGTGAAACCTACGAATGCGACAGAACGGACGATCTGGGTTGGCGCATAATCAACGAACAGGTGTCCCATCATCCGCCTATGGTAGCTCAATTTTGTGAAGGCAGAAACTGGAACTGTTGGCAGGAGTTTACCATGACTTCCAAGTTTAGGGGAAAGTATTTACAGGTCAGTAGATGTTTAAAGCATAACATATTTTTAACCGTAACATAATAACTATATACGGTACTCTACAAAGTTACAAACAACAAGAAACGTACGTAAGCTACCGGAAGTAAACAATTAAATGAAAGACATCGTGTCGCCCATTTTTTTTTGTTGTGTGTACTCGATGAAGAGAAATATTGCATCATCCATTGTTCTGTAATAAACATTAATTCTTTCAATATCCTTTAAACAGTACCAATGTTTTCTGAGAAAAAGATACATTCCTATTGTAAGCAAAATATAAAACTGTTTTTCAAGAATAATAAAATAAAAAATTCTGTAAATGAGTCAAACTCATTATTTCAACATTCTATAAGAATCAACAGAGAGATCTTCTAGACTTCAAATCAAGAATTAAACCCGCAAAAAATAGATGCATCATCTCAGAACCAGCAAGTAGATAAATAAAGCATCTATTTTCCAGTAGGTACATCATAATTCATTGATTTGATCATCTATCATCTGTCAACAAAATTCCTAGAAAATTATAGCGGCTGTATCTCTTTACTAATAATTTTTATTTTCAGGTTGTTCCAATGGGTACTGCCCAAGTAGAATTTAGAAATGGAAACAGATATTCTTGGAGAAAAGTTTGCACTACTGTACATAATATAATTGTAGGAAAGCTGTGGGTTGATCAGCATGGTGAGTTTAAGCATGTAGATATATTGAAACATATTAGTGTTTAGGCTTTTACAGAATGTGCAAAAATATTGAGAATAGTTAAATTTATATTTAATCAGACATAAGGTTACTTATGGTCTACGAAAGAAAGTCTACTTGCTTTAGGACTAAAGATACCTAGGACATGCCCCAGGATGGGATGAAAAACTTCAAAACCACAGAGCAAGAAAGAATGGAGCCAAGAATCCATCGCGCTTACAACCGAAAGACATGCCATTCAGTGGTATACGGACGGTTCCAAAACCATCAAAGAAACTGGAATAGGAGTGTATGAGCCGAGAACCAAGCACTCCAAAAGCTTGGGAAAATACCCAAGCATCTTCTAGGCGAAAATTCACGCCATTGAGAAGTGTATCCAGTTTAACATCGAGAGAAACTGTCATAGGCAAGAGATTATCATGTCCGATAGCCAAGCAGCCATTAAAGCGCTGAGCTCTTACGTAATCAGCTCAAAAATGGTCTGGATATGCTAGAACAATTGATGAGCTAGGCGAGAAAAATAGGGTTACTCTCACTTGGGTCCTGAGACATAACGGGGTACAGGGTAACGAGATTGCAGATAGTCTTGCAAGGAAAGGGGCTCAAACACCCTTTGTAGGACCTGAGCCGTATCAGCAGTAACATAATATTAGGAGAGATTATAAAAGAATTGGGCAGTAGAAGAACCGATAATTGGAACAGTCTCTCGGGGCTGGGACAGGCTAAGATACTTCCGGGTGAATATAACCAAAAAAGATCGGAAGCCTGCATCTGCCTGAGCAAGAACAGGCTACGTATTGTAACAGGGATCCTTACCGGGCATTGCCGACTAAAAGGACACCTTAGTAAACTGAGAGTAGTGGAGGATAGTGAGTGTAGATTCTGTGAGGAGGAGGACGAAACCTTCATTTACATTCTAACTGAATGTGTAGCGCTCCAGAATCCAAGGGCACTATACCTAGGAGGATATCAAATAGAAGAGAGCTTTACCTAACTTGAAGCCACTCCAAATCCTACACTTCTTTGAAAAGATAGGATTGGAAGGATCGTTATAGGCATTGAGACATTTCCTTGGTGCATTAGCGACAGAAGGGGGCACAATAGATCTTTTAGGTCGCAGTGTATTAACACCCCATTCCCAACATAACATACTATTCTAGTTGGAAACGGCAACTTATTTATTAGTGTAGGAAAGAGTTACAGAACCCGTTTATTAATTTTACAGTTGCCTAATATACAACCATTTTCACAATAAAAAAAAAATCTGATGTGTCCAACACATGACTTTCCTATCTAGTTATTATAGGCATTTTCCGGTTATTTTGTACAACCTATTGCAGCATCTCTATAAATGTTTAGAGGATAAACTAAATATATACATTTTACACATACATCTACCTCGAAACATTTTTCTATAGATTTTCATTGAAAACGAAAATACAGAAAAATTTAAATTTAGCACTTTTCCATTACGGTCCATTTTAGAAAAATCATGTATAAACAAAAATTATAGAAATCGATATCGCAAACAACTTTTAGTTCAACAATTTTCATAAAAATCAGAATTTTGCACATTTTGTCAAATTTCTCGAATACGGACCATTTCAGGAAATTTTGACATAAAACAAAAATTATAGATAATAATATTAGAAGTAACTTTTATTTGAACAATTTTCTTCTCCAAACATAAATAACAGATATATTCCATAAAATATAAAAACGGCCTCCCATAAAGTACCCCCCCAGATGTTCCGACTTTGTCCAAAATCTAATCATTTCACGTCAGGCCGAAATAAACCTTAAGGTTAAAATTTAATGTTTTTTCCTTTATCCGTTTTTGAGTTTTCTTCAAATTTCGAAATTTACACATTTTCTCAAATATCTCGAATACGGTCCATTTTAGAGAAATTATGTATAGGACAAAAATTATAGAGAATTATTACAAACAACTTTTATTTGAACAATTTTTATAAAAAATTATGTTTTTTACATTTTGTCAAATTTCTCGAATACGGACCATTTTAGGAAAATTTTGCATAAAACAAAAATTATAGATAATTATATTAGAAGTAACTTTTATTTGAAGAATTTTCTTCTCCAAATAAAATATAAAAATGACCACCTATAAAGTACCCCCCCAGCTGTTCCGACACTGGCCAAAATCTAATCAGCTCATTGGACGCTGAAACAAAGCTTAAGTTTAAAATTTGGTGTTTTTCTGTGTATCGGTTCATGAGTTATGCGTTATACAGACACACACACACACACACACACACACACACACACACACACACAGACATCATCGCGAAAATAGTCAAAACGGATTCAGGGGACCTCAAAACGTAAAAATCCGTCGAAAACTCGAGGTCGAAAAAAATCATGATTCCTATACTTTCCTTATATCTGTATACAGATAGGAAAGTAATAATGTCATGATTGCAGAACATTTTATCCTCACACGAGACAAAAGAACTACTCTGAATCTCCAATAATCTCTAAAATAAGCATTATATGTGTTTTTAAACTATGGTGTTTGGTGATATTGCGTGTTGTTTGTAATTGGACAAGAGACAATTTTTCACTTTTTGGTAGTTTGCAGAAAAGGTGGAAGTTACAGTTGCTTAAGGTCTTATTTAAGAGTAGATAAAATGTATTCTGATGCAGATTATATTTATTTTTCAGTCGCGTAAAAACTTGTCTATAACATTTTAATTGTAAGATAATTTTATTTATAAATTTCACAATTTTTTTTCCAATGTTGTGACATAGCTAAGTTCGAGCGGCTATATTTCAGTCCGTTTTTATTCAAAAAACTTTTTTGACCCACCATTTTAAAGGAAATTTAGTCTTGTAATGAAGTCAATTTTCCTCAATCAATTTATTTCCATTTTTCATTTTTAATAAATATTAAACGCGATTGAACTGTCGATCCTCAGTTAATTTACAGATGCACGAACGCCACTCGAAATCTCGCTGCGCGGTGGGTCTGAGCGTAGGTGGGATTTCTATTGGGAAAGGGACAGTTGTTTGAACGAGACCCGAGATGTTATTAAAATTATCAGTTCGATATAATTTTTGGTTGCTAGCAGTCGAGTTTAATAAGCCGCCTTCGAAATCAAATCACTGTCAATATTTTTTCCTTTTTCCGTGTATTTACAAATCCGTTAGGTAAAAAACCTTGTTCCGCTTTTTTACGTTTGATATTGACTCCGTATTTCATTTTAAAAACCGAATTAGCTTGTAGGAATAGGAAAATTTTCAGATAGTGTTTAGTTAAAAGATTTAATTTGATTTCATTAATAAATAATAGATATTGTTTCTTGGCAAATGATACCGTTTCTTTTTTTTATAGATAGTGTTTAGTTAAAAGATTTAATTTGATTTCATTAATAAATAATAGAATTTGTTTCTTGGCAAATGATACCGTTTCTTTTTTTTTATAGATAGTGTTTAGTTAAAAGATTTAATTTGATTTAAATAATAAATATTAGAATTTGTTTCTTGGTAAAAATATTACCGTTTTTTTTATAGATAATGTTTAGATAAAAGATTTAATTTGATTTCATTAAAAACATTTGAATTTATTTCTTGACAAATATCATACCGTTTCTTTAAAAAGGGATAGAATTTGAATTAAAAATAATAAATGATAGGATTTAATTCTGTAATATTGTAAAACCGGGGATTTTAGACTTTTGATTGTTAGTCGGTATTAAGAAATTATTATTTTTCTTTTGATTCGTTAAATCGGGAATTAAATTTGATTTTATTGATAAATACTTTTGTTTAGTAAGTACCGCGTTGTAATTAAGTTGGGAATATTTGTAAACGGAGTTTTCGAGGAGACGTTTTCCCTCTTTTAATAGTTTGTTTATTCCTTTACCGTATATTTGAATAATCTTAAATATCATCCTGTCCTTGTCTGAACGGACTCGTGATGACGATCAGTTCACCCTTGGAGTAGGTGCTATCCGCTTTATATTTTTTTTTTTTTTAGTTAATCTGTAAACCGCAAATTTTAAATAATTTTAAATAGTGTCCTGTCCTGTTTGAACGGGCTCGTGATGACGATCAGTTTACTCTTGGAGTAGGTACTATCCGCGTTAGTAATTTTCTTCCATCCGATAATAATTTGTTTTTCTCTTTTAATGTCAATTTAAATAACTTTAAATAGTATCCTGTCCCTGTCTGAATGGGCTCGTGATGACGATCAGTTCATTCTTGGACTAGGTGCTATCCGCGTTAGTTTTCTTTTCCGCTTTTTTTTTTTCGTGCAAACTGCAAGTTGTAGAAATCAAAAATAGCTTCATTACCCTGTCTGAGCGGGCTCGTGATGACGATCAGCTCATTCTGGGATAATAGGCTACCCCAGGTATAAATTTATTTTTATTTACTTTCCGTGTCTTTACTATAAGTAATTCTTTCGCGTCCCTGTCTCCTCGCACTCTCTTCGACCGTTTAGCTAATTTTTCTTCACCTAAATAGCAAAATACCTACATTTTAGTTTAATTCCCGATACCGCGGTTAAACAGTTATTTACCGAGTAAATAGCCAAGTTAATAATTTTTTTCTCTGCGACCGAAACGTACATTTTAATTTAGTTTTGACGTCTGATTGAGACTAGTCGCGAATCAATACCGTCCGTTTTGTTTCTTTTTTTTTTATTTATTCAGGGTTATATTGACTATCACCACAACTGGGGTGGGCGTTGAAATATTTAATTTCTTTTTTTTTTTTTGTTATAAATAGTTAATTACAATATATGTGTCAATGTTAACCTGCCGTATTACTGGTTAATAATTCCCTACTTTATTTCCCCCTTATATTTCAGCTAGTGATAAATTCTGTACCAGCCCAATCAACGATTAAAGCCCTTTACTTGTGGCCTACTATTACCTGTGTCTAAGTAACCTTTGACCCCTGGAATTTTTCATCTCCATCTGTAGCTACCCGAGTACTTTCGACGCCGTTTCGAGAGTTTGTGGAGTAAACCATTACCAAAAATCTGGCGCTCGAGAACCGCCCGTAACCAGCGCCATTCGTAAGGTACCGTTTTCTCTGTGGCGAGAAAACCCCTTACAGTCTACTTTTTTATATAAATCAATGCCTATACCTATCTCTCCTCAGAAAACGCCAAAAAAAGCAAAAATTAAAGAGAATATTGGAGTTTTGGAATTTTTTTAAATTTTTGTTTTATTTTTTACATCTTTTTTTTTTATGTTTTAAATAAACTATTTCGATGTCGCTGTTGCAAGATGATACGATTGTACCTCCGGCTGGAATTTTGTGAAGTGGTAGACTGGACCATCATAAAATCACATCTGTAATGATTTAGTTTAAAACCCATGCAAACGAGACGTTAGACATCTCAAAGTTGTAAAAAATATCGCCTTAAAAATTTACAATACACCTATTTGATTAGGTAACTTGCTTGATATACATCGTTAGCTCAGGTGTTTTAAGCATTGAACGAGAAATTAAATTTGTATTTTGCGATGAGGTTCGATTTGCAATGAATGCATTTTTTTATTTTGTAGAAAATATGAAAATTTAAAAAATACGTACTATTGTTGTTTATTTATTTTAAATAAATTTTATTATCATTGGCCCACTTAAAAAATATTTTAACTGCAAAATAGTACTGCATGTCATACATAAAAAAGCAACCAAATGGTATAAATATGATAATAATATTTCACTGTTAGAATGTTGCATGCAGCATCCGCAAGATCAGTTCCAAAATTAAAAGCAAATAGTCTAGAAATATTGTGTGGGTTTACTGCACAAGTTTCTCAAGAGTTTGTAAATATAATGTATCAGATAATTATTACCGTTATTAAAGCTAAAGGTGACACAAGGTGAGGTAACACAGAGGTGAAATTTTATATTTTACAAAAATCTTCGAAAATTGTTCATCTAAAATATTCCTGATATATAATTATTTTTGGTTTGTTATTTCAAATAGATTATAAACTAATTTAAATAGTTGACAAAATGTTTGATGAAAAATAAAAAAGCTTTTATCAAATTTATGTGTTTCTTCTCGTAAAATTTCAGTCACTAAAATTATTAGAAGTGTGCCAATGAAGCCTTATTGTGTTCGAACATATAATTTAATAACACTACGTGTTAACACAAACAAAATTAATCATCGTTGAATATTTCTAGGACATTAATAAACATTGGTAAATTAAAAATCTGTCTTTTCTTTTAGGTGATATGGAAATTACAGGCAAAAAAAATGCCACCGGAATCAAGTGCATCCTAAAATATATTCCTTACTCTTATTTCACTAGGGATTCGCAGAGGCGCGTTAAAGGAGTGGTCGTCGATGTTGACAGTAACGTAAAGTTTGTGGTCAACGGTACATGGGACGATCAAGTAGATATAGCACCAGTTACCGGTTCATCTGATATTAATAGTTCTATCTACGAAACCGGCCAGCCGATCATAGCTTGGAAACGTCGCTATCCTCCGCCGGATGCCGAAAGGTACTGTTTAATGAACTTCAACCAAAAATGGGAATGTCTGATACCTTATTTTGCGTTTGTAGGTTCTACAACTTCACCTTGTTGGCGGCCCAGTTGAACGAACCCGAGGAAGGCGTGGCGCCGACCGATTCCCGTTTGAGACCCGATCAAAGGCTCATGGAGGAAGGCCTTTGGGACGAATCGAACAAGGAGAAGCTCAGATTGGAGGAGAAACAACGGGCCACCAGGCGGCGGAGACAGGCCGCCGAGACGGATAGTGCTTCTGAGAATGGTAAATATTTTTTTTGTTGCTTTTCAAAAATGTTCTTTGTGGTAGTATTAGTGGAAATTATTTTTTTATAGTTTAAGTTTATAAATGATCATATTATTTACAATGATTACTTTGATGTAGAGAACAAATTAAAATTGAATATATTTTTTGGAAATGGCTATGCAAAAACAAATAAAAAAAGAAAAGAAAAAAGTTCCTTTAATATTAAACAAGGAAATTAAAAAAACAACGGAAATAGGTACATTTTTGAGAGATCAAAGTTTTAATACGAACATGCATTTCATTGGTACAGTGATACCTCTGTATAGTTTTATTGCTCAAAAATAATGCCAAATTCTTTCCTATGAGGCTCTATACCTCAGTCCCACGGTGTAGGACTGAGGTATTGTTTAAACTAACATTCAAAACCTGTACCACATAAATTGCTTAGGCAAATACAGGCTTCCGATCTTTTCTGGTTATATTCACCCAGAATTATCTTAGCTTGTCTTAGCCCCAAGAGATTGTTCCAATTATCGGTTCTCCTACATCTCAGTTTTTTTTAATCTACTATTATTGTATTACTGCAGAACGGTTCAGGTTCCACAAAGGGTGTTTGAGTCGCTTTCCTTGCGAGACTATCCGCAATCTCTTTACCCTTTACCCCGTTATGTAATAGTAAATAATAATAATGTTTATTTGAAAATATAAAAGATACATATTAAAAAATACAAAGCACAAATAAACAAGAAACAAAAACCACGAAGCAGGTCAAGCCTACTTGTGAGTGGTCATTCACAAATAAATATAGTAAAATTGTACAAAAATATTTTTAAGACAAAAAAAATTATTTAGACATAATATACATATATTTTTTTTTACATTTTTATTGTTCAATAATATCATGAACAACATCCCGTGGCATATTAAGAACATAATATTTTATTTTTTGTTTAAATACAAATAGCCTGGTTTCCACCTTAATATCGGGAGGTAACAAGTTATAAATTTTTGGACCTAAATATAAATAATGTCTTTGTCCGATTGCCTTTTGCATGTAAGGGGTAATGTACGCGCCTTTATTTCGAGTAGCATATTTATGACATAGAGTTTGCAATTCTGTTTTATGTTTATATGTAATCATTGCAGTGTTTATACAATATAATTGTCTAATGTCAAATATGCTACTATTACGGTATAAGACGTTGCTAGGGCAGTCGTAACCAGCGTTAAGGATTGTTCTTAGAAATCGCTTTTGTAAAACTTCGAGAGCTGATAGGTAAGTTTTAGATACGCCACCCCAAGCTATTATTCCATAACTAAGGTGAGATTCAACTAAATTTTTATATATAACTATTTTTTGTTTAAAATCTAATATGCCGCATATTTGTTTAAATTTAAATAGTATATAGCGTAGTTTTTTATGAAGGTATTCTATATGTTGATCCCATCTTAAATTATTGTCTATTATTATGCCAAGATATTTAATTTTACTTGCAGGTGAAACTACAATTTGATTTCCAATTTCGAGGTTGTAACTAGGTAGGGCGTTGCTGCAGGAACTAAATGGCAAATAGGTCGTTTTTTTTTTTTTTTTTTTTTTTTTAGTAATTGTATTTTTCTATGCATCTCCAGACCATTTTTGAGCCAATTCCGTAAGGGCTCAGACATGATTGATAATTTCTTGTCTACGATAGTTTCTCTCGATGTTAAACTGGATACACTTCTCTCAGTTTCCCAAACATTCAGAATGTTTGGTTCTAGACCCATACACTCCTATTCCAGTTCCTATGGTTTTTGAACCATCCATCGTATGTCTTCAGGAAAATAAATCTAAATATGTTATATTTACTGATAGTAAGAGTGCAGTAGAATATTTTGCAAAATGGAACGTTACCAGTCCTACCAACTATATAGCCTCAGAAATTCTTAAGATTAACTATCAATGTTTGGAACAAAATAAAGAAATTTCGTTGGCGTGGATAAAATCTCATGTAGGTATTAGTAACAATGAGAAAGTGGATATACTAGCAAAAAAGGCTACTGTTTCGGGAACTAATAAAAATATTAAAACTCCAAAATCAGATTTTATTGCTAAATCTAAATTATCAATGTTTAAAACTTGGCAAGATGCATATTCTAAAGAAGAAAAAGGGAAGAAATACAAAAACATTCAACCTAATATTCCAAAGTGTCCCTGGTTCAAAAACGAAATAAATAGGTCTTTTATCCGAGTTATTTGTCGTATGAGAAGTAATCATGCTATGCATCCTGCCTACAAGGAAAAATTTGGTCTATCAGATAATAATTTATGTTTAATTTGTGATGAAATTGCTGATCTCAATCATATAATTTTAGAGTGTGTCCTAAATTCGTTAGATACTGACACAATGTACTTAGAATTAGTTAATATTGGTATACCTCTACCAATAAACATTGATGTTCTGCTTTCATTAAACGATGTTAAAGTTTATAAAATATTGTATGAATTTGTTAAAAAAACTAATACAAGATTGTAAGTAGCTGAGCTACCCTAAAAATATTGTAAACCTGAAACGAAAAAATAAAATAAATGATAAAATAAAAAAATGAAACCAAGGAAAAAATGAAAAAAAAAAAAAAAAAAAAAAAAAAAAAAATAATACAAAAAAAAATAATACAAAAAAAAATAATACAAAAAAAAATAATACAAAAAAAAATAATACAAAAAAAAATAATACAAAAAAAAATAATACAAAAAAAAATAATACAAAAAAAAATAATCAAAAAAACAAATAATAAAAAAATAGACATTTTTTATAATTAATTACAAACTCAGGTATTTTGATAGCTGTAAGTCAAAATATAATAATAATGTAATCATGTAACAATAGTGGATAAAACAATTAAAGATTTATGGATTACTACAATAGTCTGGCCTTTTGGTTATATCCAGTGCCATTAAAAAAAAAAAAAAAATATAGCATCCACTAAATAGCATTTATTTCGGTTGCAAGCCCGATGGATTCTTGTTTCAATTCTTTCTTGCATCTCGGCACTGTGGTTTTGAAGTTTTTCACAAAACTGTAGTTCTTTCTCATTTCATCTTGGGCATATCTCAAGTATCTTCGATCCTGAAGCTAATAAACGTTCGTCTATTTACTCCGTGCTGATCATTCTATATCATGTGCTTTTTGTCACTTTCTCTATCATTAAATGTGTAGGGGCGAGATTTAAGATCACCTCCATTGCGGCCGTAGGACAGATTCTCATTGCATCGGTGATGCAAACAGGCTAGTATTTGTACTTTAGAGATATTAGCTCTCGTAGTAGCTAAACTAGGTTTGTTACTACAGGCTATAGTCCCTTACGTGATTATTGATCTCACTATTGGTGTATACACGTGTGTTCGGGGGTACATCCCCATCTTTTACTCGCAATGCTTACTATTATGCCTTTTGGGACCTTATTTACTACTTCCTTCTTATGTATGTTCCTGTCATGAGAATGAATAAGCCGTCCCTGTTTAGCGCGACCTTGGAATTCTGCCACCCGACTCATGCTCGAAACAACGGAATTTTCTAGGTATCCCGCCGAAGCTTCTCGAATATACCAGAACAAGCGGTACGTGACGTTGAGTCATAGAGATGGAATTGTAGGACATTCCACATCGTCTAGAGTCTTCTCGTACAGAGTGGGCTTTGTATAAATAGCGCAATTTCGTCGACGGATGAGTAGTTTAGAATAAAGTATTGGACTGAAAAGATAAATTGTAATAAATAAATTAGAATTGTGAGTTAGTGCCTAAGTATTATATAAATTAATTAGTACATCATAAATAAATTATAAATAGTGTGTTTTAAATAAATAATCTAAAAATAAATTAAACTATCATTACATTCCAGAGAAGTTTGTTGTCCAGGGTTAGGCCTAAATATTTGACTTCTTTTTTTCATTCTATTCTATATCTAGCCCATCTAATTTGACGATTTTAAGATTTTTTGTTTTCGTTGAAAAGGCTACTAGTGTTGTATTCGTGCGGTGTTTACTCTGTTATACCTCTCTGCACCATCTGTTGGTGTGTCCTAGTCCTCTTTGGACTATATCATACAAGATATTTTCAAACTTCTAGCAAATATGACTATGTCGTCGGCATAACCTTGACAGGGTATGCAGAGGTCAGTAAGTCTGCATAGAAGTTCGTCTACAGTTAGGCTCGACATTAGTGAGGATAGAACTCCTCCTTGTGGACATCCTCTGGTTATGCAGATAGAGATGGTATCCTGACCTATCTGCGTCTCTGCAGTTCTCGTAGATAACAGCTGAGCCATCCATCTGGATGTGGTGCTATTTACTCCTCTGTATGCAAGTGCTTTTTGACAGATTCTTTGGCTTGAAAGGCACAAACGAAAGTTTCTTTGTTTGTCAGTTTATCCTGTACCAGGGCAGTTTCTGTAGATCTTCATGCTTCGTACGTGGCCCTCTTTCCAGGACTGTTCTAATATAATTATCAACAGCCTTCTCCATTGTTTTTAATACAAATGATGTGAAGCTGATTGGTCGGAAGGATTTAGAATGTGTGATATCCTTTTTTCCTACTTTTGAAATAAGAATGACTCTGGTCCTTCTTCATGAATCTGAGAGTCATACATGAGAACATTGTTGACATAGGCCATGTACAAGGTTGTGACAATATGAGGGGTTTTTAATTCAAAATAAGTTCTAAAAATATAACGCAATTGGCTGTGTGTCTTATTAGTTACATTATACTTATCAAAAATTTATTTTGAGTCCAGAATGATAGCTAGCTCTTTCACATTATCTACGTGGTGAAGGATATAATTGAAGGGCTTATTTTAAAAATATGATAAGCCACACTTTTTAAAATAAAGTCATTTTGACTTCACGACAATAAAAAATAAAGTTATAGAAGCTTGAACCAAATGAAATTTTTTCAAAAAATACCGTAATTAGCAGAAAAATCAAGTGATTGCATTTTAACAAAGTTGTAGTAGTTTATTTTAACCTTTGAAGGCGTGTTT